GATCCTTGCATAGGGGAGCCTCTTCTGCCTCTCTTGTGGCTTGGTTGAATGACAGTGCAAAGGTGAGACTTGAGAGCAAACAACCCCCAATGGAGGTGGCCTCATTCCAGCAGATGGAGTAGAGCAGTGATGGCGAACCTTTTAGAGACTGAGTGCCCAAACTGCAACCCAAAACCCACTTATGCATCGTTGAGTGCCGGGTGGGTGTGGCCCATTCTGTGGGTGTGGCCTATTGGGTGGGTGTGGCTGCAGTGGTAACGGCAGACTGGGTGGGACTAAAACGTTCAATCAATCAATTCCAACTTTGCAAGATCTTTTTTTTCCCTGTGAGAAGTTGAAATTGACTGATTGAACCTTTTTTTTTTTTTTTTGCACACGGCGGCGGAGGCCTAAAGCGAAAAAGTTTTATAAAACCCAGCTGAAGGCCTAGGACTGGGGCGACGGCACGCGTACCCACAGAGAGGGCTCTGAGTGCCACCTCTGGCACCCATGCCATAGGTTCGCCACCACTGGAGTAGAGTGTTCATATTCCTCAAGATGCAAGCATATTTGAGTGTTGTGGCTGCTTTTTAAATTGACAACCCACCCACTTACCCACAGCTGGCAAGCCATTTTCACAGGACACTTTGACTCTGGTTCCTTTCCTTTGTACCATTTTGCCACTTGATGTTTCTCTGAGCCCAGTTTCTTATTTCCTTGTCCCAAAGGCAAAGGATGCTGAGATGCTTTATTTTGCTCAGAGGCAGATGGTGAGCAAATATCTGACAATACACAGAAAGTACAGAGAGTTAAACTACAAATGACAGGCCAAGAGAATGATTTGAATAAGGATGCTTTACTGGATATGCAAAAGAAACTGGCTAAAGTTTTAAAAACTAAAAGGGAAATATAAATGATATTTGTAGAAAATGACCTGGGGAAAAAAATCCCATTGAATTTAAAAAAGAGGCTTCTTAAAGCCTTGAAGAAATCTATGTGAGTGGATAAAGATGAATTGAAAAAAATCAAATCATATGATAATACTTAAAGATTAAATTAAAGATTAAGACTGTTAAAAGTAAAAGGGAGGTATATAAAGTTGGTTTAATTGATCAGAGTTAAATAAGTTTTTGCAAAGTTTTGGCAACTGTTTATGAACTTTTTGCTGACACTAGTTGTTGAACAGTTGATATTTGATGAATTTGGGATGGGATAAGATGAGGGATGGGATATGTGATTGAAGAGATCCCTATTTGTAACCACACGGGGTGAAGAGTCACTAAGTTTGTTTATGTTTGTTCTGATGAAGGTTGAAAGCCACTTCTTTATATATTTGTTTTCTTTTTATTATTTTCTTCTCTTTTTATTCTTTGTTTTTCTTTTTCTCTGCACTTTTTATTATTTTCTATTATCTTTCTCTAAGTTTAGTTTGTTTTTGTTTTTACTTTTGTAATAAAGATTCTTAATAAAATTATATGTAAAATACAAAAAGAAAATTAAGTAAGAGAGATAAGAAATAAGGGGGTGGAAGACATAAGAGATTTTTCAGTCTACTTGGAAAACCTTAAACTTATCAGACATGCAAAAAAAGCTGAAGTTTTGTTTTTAAAATATATGGTAAAATATATAAATATAAATTTTCTAAGGATATGCTTATATTACTAAACATGTGTCCTAGATATATTTCATGAGTTTTAGTTTTGCGCTACTTATAAAGCTTTTATTAATCTTCTGCTCCATGTTGTGGTTCTATATATCTCACAAAGGGGTTCACAGTACTTTAATGTATGCAATTGAACTGATCTTAGACAAATATTAGTGCATATTGCTTTGCTAGTTACGTCCTACAAAGGAAGCAAACAGCTCAACGCATACCTTTGGAAGGATAGTAAGAACTATTCCAATCAAAAGGCATTGGACGTATGTATAGAGGATGGTGTATCCTTGCTGTAGAATAGACTTGTTAAATAGATGAGCTAGTAGGGATATGAAGTAAAGGTTGGTTCAAATCCATTCCTTGTTGACACATCATAAGCCATATTCTGAAAATCGTTCAACTGCTATAGTTACCAGGGAGGGTTTTGATTGGCATATGAAAATCAGAGCATATCACTCTATTCTTATTCTAAATGTATTGGCTCAATCCAAAGCTTTGCTCAAGATGCTAGTTATGACCTTTAAAGAATTAAATGGCTTGGAACCGCTTGCTTCCATATGAATTTGACTGGCTTGTAGAAAAATCTGTAAAGCTTTTGTATGAAGTGAGTTTCCTGCTCCTTCTTAAGCCAATGAAAAGCTTAACCTTTTTAATGACTCCATACATCCTGAAGTTGTTTAATCCAATTTTTCACATGTGATAAATGCCTTATTTGCAGTGATTTTTACCAATTTTAATTTTTTTAAATTTTCTCTCTTGTCATGCTTCTACACTGAGATTTTTAATGTGCATTGTTGTATTTTTCAATTGTGATTTTAAAACAATATTGTAATTTGAAATCTGGTTCTCTCTTCCTCAGCCTCTTTAAATACACTCACATTAGGGAAGGATGATTTAGTGCCCTGATGATGAACCTATCATGTGTATCAAAGGTGACATGCCATGACGTTTTTGGGTGACATGTCAGTGTTCATCAATACCCACCAACAACTATTCTTGAAAGCATGCCTTGTTCTCATGTGATTTTTGAAGGCTGTAGAGGTAATTAGAGAAAGGGGTGTACTCTTGACTGGTCTCTGGAGCCTCTGAAACTCACACAAGGACAAGGCATGCTGCGGTGTGGTTTTTGGAAGCTGCAGAGGCTGTAGAAGAGTATTCTCCAAAAGCCAATTCAAGAATGAAGGCCTTGTGCGCCCCAGAGCAGCCTCGTGTAATCCACAGGGTTCTGTCTACAGAAAGAAAGTATTGCCTGAAGGTAAGCGGCATGGCAGATTCTGGGTAGTGCTGAGTCACAGGGGCAATTGCCTTGGGGAATGGCACAAGGTGGCCTTTTTGAGTAATAACAATTGTGCTTGGGCTGAGGCCTCTACTCTACATCAGGCCCAACCTCAGCACAACTGTCAAGAGCAGCTATTCAGGGTGACCTAGATAGGGGAGAGGTAGATAATTGTTTCTCTTTTATTTATTTATTTCTTTGTTTGTGTGTGTATGTGTGTGTGTGTGTGTGTGTGTGTGAGAGAGAGAGAGAGAGAGAGACAGACAGACAGACAGACAGACAGACAGACATGCCAGCAGAGTCAAGTTTGGCATTTTCTGAATTTTTGACATGCTGAGACCATCCTCAAATCCAAAAATCCCTGGGCTGATTGTAATGTATATTGCAAAAAAAAAAATGCAGTTTGTACATATTTATTTGATTATTAGTGACTGAATAGCGGAAGTGAATAAGCTTGGGATAAAGCTCCGTGCAATTCCCAATCACCTGTTTTTCCATCACTCCAATCCCTCCGAAAGCTATTTCAAAGTGACTCCCTGTCACTTACACTTTTGCCAACCTTGAAATGATGAAAAGATTATAACTCGGTTGGTACTAAACCCCCTTTTCCTCCATTTGATCAATGGGATCTTATCATCAGTGCCCCCATCCGTGAGCTATAATCAGCTGTGGTATAACAAATATCTCCTTCATTCCACACAAAACAACTGAGCGTCCCCTATTCAGTATCCCTTTTCGTACAGGAGGCATTTGTCTTTATCTAATCATTTCCTAAAAACTTTTGAGAGGTTGCTATGAAGAGAAGCTATCTGAGGTAAGATTGATTGATACGTAAACCACAGCACTGAAGGGCTGTGAAAGCTTCCCAAATGCCTTATGCCCATTTCTCTTTCATTTAAAAGCAGCTATGAATTGTGAAGGTGAAATGATAGCATCTCATCAGTTTTGCAACTTGGCACATTTTCCAGTAGCTGCAACTACAATTGCATATTGATATAGCCGCTGGATTGAGTGAAGGGGAAGATAAGCTCTAACAATGAAAGCAGGAAGAGACAAACTATAGGACAAGATGCTGAACCACTACCAGAGGGAAATCAAGCAATGGTTAATTTAAGCCCAAGAGATAGGAAGCACATTGAAGTGAAAATCCTCACCAATGACAAAATGGAACGCCTTCAAGATCTGCAGAGGTGCAATGAGAGAGGGAACCAACTTGGATGTAATTTCCACAGAAGAAGATTTAGGAATGACTGCTCACCCAAACCACTGATATGAGATTAGAAAGCGCCAGAGTTGACCTTGAAGTGGTGCAAAACCAAGAAGACACTCCCTTGGTACTTTTCTGGGTGCATTGTAGGGAAATGAGGTCCGCTGTAGCATATTTCATGTCATTTTAATTATTTGCAAGAGTGGGAGAGAGAGAAAATAAATTTGAGCACCACAGAGAAGACTGGAGGTCACAGCAGTGCATAGAATCACAAGTAAGTTGTACTGGTGATAGTAGTGGCTTTTGGAAGTAGTTAGTAGTAGTGGTCCCCAGGAATACAGAACAATCTCTTGATAGATCAGATTGCTTTGGCTATATATCATGAGCTGAGTAGCCTCAGTGGGCTATTTCAACTTTACTGACTCAATGAAGAATCTTGCAACTGCTCCAGAACTAAGAACAACTTTAAGTTGCAGCCTGAAACAAATTTCAAGAACAAACAAGTATATCCGATTCTATATAGAGTGGACACCATTGCTTCAGATATACTTCAGCTAATGAGATTGCTTCTGTGTAATGATGCATAATTACTGTATGTGGCCTAGTCAGTGGTGGGATTCAAATATGTGAACAACCGGTTCTCTGTGTGGATGCCACTTCCGGAAGTCCATTCTGGGCCTGGGCAACAAAAAATTAGCTACCGGTTGTGCCGAACCGGTGCGAACCAACTGAATCCCACCACTAGGCCTAGTATAATCTGATGGCTTCTATGTTACTAATGGAAATGCTGTATTTTGCTGTGCATATTTGCTTTTGACTATCCTTGTTGAGCACTGATAACAACAAATGACTTTTAATATATTACTGAGCAGGAAACAAAGTGTACCAATGTTTTTTTTATTTTTTTTTAATAGCAAACAGCTTTCCATAGTTAAATTGCACACGTATTGTTGCCATTTTTCAACCATGAGTAGGAACAAACCCCAATCCAAGCCATTAAAATGGAACAGAAAGGAAATAATTATGTTAAGAAAAAGCAAAACCAACCAACGCTCCCCCTTCCCCATGTCTGGTTTGATATCCAGTAATGGTAAGATTTAATTGCCAGTAAGTTTCCAAGTTCTTGAAAGATGTGCAGTGCACTTTTCCAGATTTGATAGTTCAACCCACTCCTGGAGCAATTTCGCAAGTGAACGATGACTGAAGAAATAACTACAAAGTGGGACAGATTTGAAACCAGACTCATGTTCTGTCAGCGCTATAGTAAATTTATGAACCCAAAGCCTAAAACGAAAGCATGCTACTCATTGCAGTGTGAAATCCTGGATGCAATACAATGTGTAACCTGCTATAGAAAACAGTATGTTTACAGCATAAAAGCCCCCCTGCGTAGAAATTATTCATTTTCACTCTTCGGTATCTTGTTAGAATTCTCATGGAACTGTAGTTCTGTCAGGTGCAGAGATGTAATTGACAGATTCACTGCCATTCACAGAGTTATAACTTTTAGAGTTCCTTGGTTGGGAATTAAAGAGGCTGAATCATTACAGAGGCTTTACATTTGTACTATAGCCATTCAGAGAGAGCTCTCGACTTGTTCCAATAGCAAACTGGCTTTGCTCCATAGTACTTCATTCAATCTTGACAGCAGCCGGTGGTCCAAAATGCTGACATTATGTTTATTATTACTATTACTTTCCAAAAAGAAGAATGGAAGCAGAGTTTTCAGCAACAGTCAGTCCAGAAACACAGACCAATTTCACTGGCATCTGCTTTTGCTGAAAAGAGCTGAAACAAATTCAGGATTCTAAATTTACAAAATAAACACTAGTTCGATTACCTAATTAGAACATTTAAATTAGAATATACAACCGTCACAGGCTTCTAAATTAGGTTGGAGTCATTGTATATAACCTACAGAAATCAATAGCAAAGCTCCAATTAATTTGAATATAAAGACAGCAAATGTACATAAAGTTGCAGCTTTAAACATCCTGCTAAACTACATTGCTATGCAATTATTGGTAAGGGAAAGGTAAGCTATTATTCAGATGCATTAAATTATTTGCTTTATGTGGTCATGTGTGGGCCTGCATTTTGAAGTGCCATATCCTATGGTAAAAAGCAGTGGACTGGACTAAGCCAGATCCAATGTGTATTAACCGACCTCAGTAGAAAAGTTAGTTAAACCAACAGGATTTTAAAAGACTAAAATCTGTATAGATCACAATTATTACTGAACCAATTTCAAATCTGAATTCATGGAATTACAATATTCCTAATTTTAAATGTGACATACTATTCCTCAATTGTTTCAAAACTGATGCTGTTCAGATGGTCCATTTTGCACGTAAATTCCATTTTCACATTAGTTTTAAATTCTGTTATTCCATCACTTACTAAAAATAGAGGTTTTCCAGCAGTTATTCCATTTTTTAATTTAAAAAAAAATCATGTACATGTATCTTCTGATATGGTTAAGACTGCTCATATTGTTTACAACAGCAAAGCTTCTTTCTCACTCACATATTCCCCCTTCCCTAAATTTTTTTAAAATTCCAATATTTTAATTCCCAGTAAGTTGACTAAATTTTGATTAAGGATGGGGGTTAGAATCTGAAAATAATAGCTTGAATTCCAGATCAGTTCCCTCCCTGCTCCAATAAGGGGGATACCTCTGATGCTAAAATATCCTCCAATTTTTCCACAACAAATAAAATTGTGGGCTGAATCTTATTCAATGCCAGGAAGCATAATTGTTTTTACCAACACTATTATTATCAGCGATCCCACATCTGTTATGAAATAATAGGAATGTACTTCATTCTACAGTGACTATACTTTTTCAGTTTCTTAGACCTGTGGAAGCAATATATTTTAGAATTGGCACAGCCAGTTTCTTAAAATTGCCATAATCCTTAATGACCAAATGATCTTGAAAAGTCAGCTACTGGAAGCTGCAAAGAATAAATGTAATGCTGAATAGGGCGAAGGGAAATAGTACTATAATTTTATTTTTTTTGCACTACCGATTCCATATACAAACCAGGGAAAGTTTATTTCAGGGAATATTTCCAAGCCTTTTCCATATGCCTCAAAGTTGTTCCAGAAGAATCATGAGCATGTACTTTATTTCCTTTAAACGGAGACCTAATTTGGTCTTGCCCAGAAGCGCAGGCCACAAAAACCTGCAGACTCTTGGAGGCTACATCAAATAATCTCTGAGGATGGATGCAGTCTAGAAGTTACCAGTTGGTCATCCATTTTCTTCTAGACTGCTCAGTACACATTGAGGAAAATACTGCATTTTCTCCAAATACAATCTATTGACTTTCTTGTTGCATGATCAGAAACCTCAGGAGAAATTGTGTAAAACAAACTAGAATCACATGCACATTTATTGTGTATGCCTCACTCACACTTACTCTCCAGCTGACTTGGAAAGGCCTTGAAATCTCTAGAGAGAGAGAGAGACATTGAGAGTGGGATCACTGTGAAAATAACTGTTGTAGTGCTGAAGGTATTACAAAATAATAATACATTTTCCTGTGCAGATTAAATGTGAGTTGTGGCACAACACAAAGCTCTAAATGTAGATTCTCTGTTTCTGCAGAAGATAATACGTGTATCCATGATGTGGGCAATTTCTAAAATTAAGAGCATGCAAAATATTCAAATCTAGCTCTTTCATTCACATAATCTAACGGGCTCGTGTTCTTGTTTTCTCTGTACAGATTTGGTCAGAAGAGTGTTTTTATCACACATAAATCATTGTATTTGCTATAATGTAGCACCATAACCTTTGCCCTGAGGATGTGACACTTTCTACACCAGAGGTTTGTTAGGACAGACTAAATGTATGAAAATATAAATATTTCAAAATGCATTTTGTAGCACTTAGGCTAACAGCTTTAAAGAAATGTAAGCAAGAAAAAAATGGTGCAGAATTTTTCAGTGCTGTAAATTCTATTTGGACACTGAGCCTTAACCTGAATGGACCCATTGAACAGCTCCTTTAAAAAATTAACATCTATGAAATACCATTGTGGTGTCTCTAATAAGGCTATTACTTTTCAAGACATATTTTCCAAAACTACCCTAAATATCTCATTTTACTTTATTTGAATACATTCAAAGGCTATTATGACAGCTGATTTTAGGCGCAAAGTGCCTAGTTGGATGACAAGAAAGTTCAGTTCTAGATCAAAAGCAAAAGTAACTTCATCAGAGTGAAGTTTTAAGTTGTTCTTTCTTTTGTATTTTCTGCTATACATATAGTGGTCTATAATGTTCCGCTTTAGTCTAGAAACCCAAAAGAACATGACAATTATGAGTTGTTTTGGTTTGCTTAATCAGTTCTACATTGCCACTGGTTGGTGAGTCACATAAGACAAGGCATAACGTAAGGCAGAGAAATGTTTTAGCAATTCTGAGGGTGGACCAAAAGACAAGAAAATAGAGCCCTACATAATCAGTCAATTGAGCTGACGATTGAGCTGTTGAAGCATGCCACAAATCCTTTCATAAGCTTCTACTTATAAAAGGGTATAATGTTTTTAAAATAAACGTTAACATCCGAGGGTTTACCTACTTTGACTTTTATGTCTAGGTATTACAGCGTACAGAGTCAGTCAAGAAGTATTTTAGATACAAAAATAAGTAAAAAGGAACATCTAGAATAAATCAAGTCCTGTGTATAGATTTTTTTAAAAAAATCTAGTGGCAGATGTTCCCACTTACGTATTATATTTCTTTCTGAATAACAAGCATTTGATACACTTCAATCTGAATTTCCATTATTACAAATACTCCTCCCTCCCTCCCCAACCCAATACTCTACTGATTGTGCCTTCTGTAGCTAAAAATATAACTTCCATTACAGGTCTATAGATAGATAATAGCTTCTGTTTTAAAAGCTTGAAACAATTTGACTTACTGATTTATTTTAGAGCATATAAGTTTTAAAATCTAAATTGACCTAGTGTGGTAGACAGGTGATTGCAACTCCTTGAACAGAGATGGAAATTGTACTTTCCTGTTAGATTGTCCCATGTTTTAACTAGAAATCTTCCCTGGGAAAACCACTTACCCAAGAAACGAAAGAAAGAAGGAAGAGGAAACGGTAGATGATCTAATATACCCTAATCACCAGAAAAGGCCTGCTCTTCCAACCTCTTCAAATATCCTCCCTTCTCCCCCAAAGAAATTATCCCCTTTTCATTTCCCTCTAGCCCCAAATAGAAAAAACCTCTATTTCTTTAAAAGAACACAAATAGACACTGTATTATTATTATTTGTTATCTGTTGGGGTATAGAGTTCCCCATATCAAATGAGTTACTTTTAGATACATCCAGCCCAATTATCCAGATCTTCTTTTTCCCCCATCCTAACTTTTCAGTGAGACAGTGGGTCCCAATACTAAAGCTGTCTCATGTGTTCATGGATTCTTCCTTTTGTCAAGTCCTGCAGCTCTGGGACCATCTTGTTCTTAGAGTTGGTTAATCTTGAACCTTCCAATCAGGGAACTGTCTTTCATTAAAGACAGCCAGCATTGCTCCAGTCATTCATTTCTGTTTGCAAAGAAGGATCGTTGAGTTCAAACAGTGGATCCATGTTGACAGAATTTGAGAGGTAATCATTTCTCCCTTCATCCCAGGGATGCTGAAGAAAAGAAGTGGCAATAAATGTTTCATCAAAGTCCAAGCTACTCTGGTTAGATTCTGTGAGCACATAATCTTGCCCAGCTGGGCACCACTCCTGTGGGCAATCAATATGTCTTCCATGCACTGTCAAATCTACATCCCTGGTTATTGGGCTGATTGGAGGAGTAATTTCCAGATCCTCAAAGGTAGAGAAATCACCATTTAAGGTGGTATCAAAGATAGCCTCCCAGTCAAAATCACCTTTGAGAGAGCCAAGCTCTGTCTGTTCTTCCTGAGTAAGCATAGGGGAGCTGGAGAAGCGGGCTGCCTTATACATTCGTTTTGGCAGCGGTTGCTTGCGTTTATGGCTCATTTTTCCATCGGCTGGGTTCCAGTTCTGGTCGCTGGTCACTTCTTCAAATTCTTTGAGCAGCTGCTGGGATTCTACATTGATCTTCAGAATGCTGCTGTTTTTCCAAGAAGTTGCTGATTGGTGAGCTGAAGAACTGGAACTTGCCTCCTGTTGGATTCTTCCAGTGAAGGCTGGATGTATCTGCACAGGGGGCATCCTGCGTTTTTTGAAAGCTCCGTTCATCAGTCTGTCTGCATACTGAGGATCAATCTTCCAGAAACCTCCTTTTCCCGGTTCATCTTTCTCTCGTGGTACCTTGATGAAGCACTTATTCAAGGACAGGTTGTGCCTAATGGAATTCTGAAATTTAAAAGGCAAAGCTTAATATGAGTTGTTCTGGAAAGGGTGCTAATTTGTAGGGCAAGTCTCTCTACTGACATGAATGCAGTTGAATAGACCCATTAGAATTACCATGTTCTGTTCCAAAAGAAAGATGGAACACTGAAATTGTCTACAAACCAAAGCAGATCTTGTGCATCAATTAACAGGTTTATTATTCATATAGTACCAAACTATAAATATCTGAAGATCATTGTCTTTAAGATTACACAGGATATATTTTAATGAATGCATTAAACTCATACCAACTGTGTTTTAGTGGATGCCCTGCAAGCAAACAAAGGTAAAGTCAGAAAAGGCCATTTAGCCGTTGAGTACAATCTCCTGCATATTGCAGGAGCTGAAATTAAAACATCTCAGGTAGATCCAGAGCTATTTATCCTCTGATTCAACACTAGTGTGACGGTGAGTCCATTATCTCTCTGAGGAATTGGCTCTCCTGTTGAATTGCTCTTCTGCTTAGGACTTTTTTTTCAGATGGACTTTTCTGTAATTTAAATTTCTACAAGCCTTATTAAATGAAAAATAATTTGGTATATATCACTAACAACTGGTGAAAAGTTTAATGTTAAACAAAAGGGAAGTTAAACAGAATATTGGTATCTGGTCTTTGTCTGCTTTATATTGTACACATAGGATGGCTTTTCCAGATTGATTCTCTTAAAATGCAAGTTAGTAATGAACTATGGGGAAAAGATATTTCCCACCTGAATTATAAGTTTATATCTGTTTTAACTGTTTCAGTAACCTTCAAACCTTCATTAATGTTTCTAATTCTCCAGAATTTTGAAAATCACTCTTCCTAAATTATAAGTTGTTTAAAAAGATTAAGCAACTAAACAAGCATTGAAATTCAAATTAGTGACTTGAGACAACTACTGAATTATAAAACGTAACGAAGATCTCACTCTTCTCAATCTCATATTTCTAATATTAGACTGACACTAGTTCTCTTATCATTCATACTGGCAGATATTTAACTTTCAGCTAAATGACTCACTCCTACATTCATATTTTCTAAATATAATTATATGGTTGTATGTTTCTGGACTTTATTGAAAAGAGGTTTTTAAAAAAAAACAAAACAAAAACTCCCTATATTTCATTCCTCACTAAAAAGTAAGAAATGATTTAGTGTACAGAAATAGGAATTGCAGCCAGTAATTTATTTTTTTAAATCAAGGTTGTGTTTACATCTTGTAACTTATGGAAAATAAAGCATCAATGAGCTTTTTTCCTTTAATGGACCCTAAAATTGCATGCAAAAATAAAACTAAACCACGATTTGTTGAATAAGCCAGTGCCAATCTGGCAGAGAAGTAAAATAATTCTGGTTCGCCTGGCCAATTCTTGTTTTGTTCCCTTTTCTTCTCTTCTGCCAGAACACAGATGCTTCTCTACTTCCCAGCAGCAGTAAAGAACTAGTCTGCCAGTCTGTGTGTGAGAGGTGTTTTCTGTTTTTTGTATAGTGGGCTCTTTGCTTTTGTGTCTCTGGAGGTTTTGTGTGTGGTTCTTCATTTAACCTCTCAATATGTGTGAGAATGTGGCTGCCAGACAGAATGAAAAATTTGGGAGAAAAACAAGAGGGCTTCCTTTATTTTGAGGAGTGGATTTCTCTGGTGGCTAATACGTACTGCCACATCCTTCTCTATTTTGATGGGAAACATGGGTAGAAAATGAAAATAATTAAGACAGGATCCGGGATTCAGATATTACTCGCTACGGTTAAAATCAGTCATACATTCGGTCAATTTCAAGACCAGCTTTGCTGAAAAAACAAACTATGGTTTGTTTTATCTTCTAAGGTGGAGTCATAAAAATCACATAAGGATTATTTCCTCACTAGTGCCGTAAAGCATCTTCATAGCATCACCCAACTGTGATTGAAGTTCTATAATGCAAGTCCTTGCCTTATTTTGTCACAATGGGAGACCCTAGAAGATGCTGTAAATTGCCAGGGAGAGAATTACTTTAGTCAAAACAAATCTTAGATTAGTGCCCTGTGTGAGTAAGGGCTGTCTGTTTTCAGGAGTCACTGATGAATTCACGGTTCCTGTTTCATTGATTTTAGGTATGTATAACCATAGCAATTTACAATGGAATGGAAAACATAACCTTCATTCCATACCTTCAGCTATGGAAAAAAGCAAGTTCCTTGCTCTCATCACAGGGCTAGAGAGTAGAAAGACTAGCCAAATATCCATTACAATTCCATGATAGTCAGAAAGCTGGGATTATCTGATTCTGCCCCCATCCCAAAATACATCTGGGCTATGGCTGTGGCACTACATATAAGAACTAAGAACTGTTGAATTCACCTTAATCCCAGACAGATACAGATGGGCCCACATAAAAAAACACTTACTTTACCCACTTGCTTGCCTATTGAATTAAATCTGCACCCCTCTGTGCTTCATCTCAGACATTCAAATATCATCTGATCATTTTGTTGAGCTTTGCACAAAATGGTGTTCTCGTTCACGATCAAAATGAAAAATCATAATGATCAAGAACATCGATAAAGAGACCGGATCCTCGAAAGAGACATTTCTAATTTTACAAAAGAAAGAATGTGTCCAGAGTGGTGGAGCCCAATCCCCAAAGAAATTCAGTTATTCAGTAAATAACTTGGTCTTTCAGTACACAAAGCCA